TACACACACATACACACATCAGCCGCCTGTCTATACCATCCTACGTTTCAATCGTATCGACAATAGCGGCGGGGCGTGGCTCGTCATTTTTCGATTCATAACGCGAACTTTGATTAATTAATTTCTAACACGATTTTCACCGCGGGATTCATTTTTCATTTTCCTATCGCGCAGCTTAATTTGGCGGCATACAAACGATGTGTTATAAAAAATACTGACGCAGCGGCTCTACAGCATGGCGAAATACAACTTGAGAGAAGAGCTTTTGGATGTAAAATCTCTCTTTAAAAAATACAATACTTACGCGCGCGCGCGCGCGCTCTGATGTATGATAAAACTTACGAGTGATTGTGTAACCAACTAATACGAATCGAAGCCTATAACAATCCAATGCTAGATTGTTATAGGCTTCGATTCGTATTAGTTATGTTGTTATATTGATGGTCCTTTAAAATTTAATATTAATTACTGTCGTAGTTTATTAGTGTTGCGTTTCAAGCCTGAAAAAATTTCGGCGTGCAATCGAAGAATTACATTCGTAGTATATATTAATTCACACACAATTATTTAGAAGCATCCGTGATCCAGCTTAGACCGTTGTGACATCGGACATTGCATTGTCTTATTCGGTTTGAAATTTAGTGGTCCTAATAAGAATTGATATAATAATATTTCATATTCCCTCTTTTTTTATTCCATAATCGCAACGTTTTTACTCTCTTCAATTTTTTATTGAATATGATATAAATTACATTTATTTTATATACTCGAAAAATTTTTATTTATAGTATAAACAGTATCACTCTATAGCTAAAGCTTATATCAAAGATAGTTAGATCACATGAATATCTACCAAGTTATTTCAATATCTACTAAGTTATTTCAATAAAACAGTATGGTATTTCCTATAACTCTCTCCCCTCCTCTACGTAACGTATACTATAGTATTTTCGCATGCGATACCTATTTTTCGAGGGTAAAGCCTTTGGCCAGTTTATTAGATATTATCCCTGTAATATTGTTACGGATAACATAAAATCACATAACTTCTTACATCGAAAATACAAGAATCTTTTTCCTATATAGACTTTTCCGTTGCAATGGATCATTCGTCGCTTCGATAAGTTATCGAGGGACAGTTTAGCAAAAGAATGGGTCTTTACTCGATCGTAATCTGTATGAAGTACCAACAAGTTGGTAATATATCCTAGACAAATCTCAATTTGTCGTCACTTATCGTGTTCTCCCAATCTTTATAAAATTTTCAACTATTTTCAATTGTCAAAGCCCAATTTTTCAAGCCAAGCTACACACAAATCTATAGTAACTTATTTGCGAATTGTGTTGACAAAATTATCGGAACTTTTTGCGCACCACTTTTATACAATTAGATTTGATGTTCAAGCAGGAATATATAAAGAAGAACGCTAGAAGTTGAAACAGAAAATCGTAGTTTACAAAAGATACATATGCTCTACGACTACTATTTCTTTATTTAATTGCTCTCGTAAAAGATGGTACGTTAACGATCGTTAATTTAGAGCCTATTTGCAGCAAGTCGAGCTGAATACCTCGAACGAGCCTGAAATTACATGCCGGTGTATCGAATCATATTACTCGCGCGCGAAGAAACAACATGCTCGAACTTCGGAATATTGGAACGTCGAGGGAGGTCAGTGGAGGAATGAGGGCGGTGTACTCCGCCGGCAGAGTGTTGAAGGTGGGAATAATGCGATGGAAACGAGCTCTACGGCCGATAGCGGACGCGGCCGCAACACGTGAAAATGGCGTTGCACGACCCTTATCAGACGGCCCATGATTTATAGGCTCGCCGCGAAAGAGTTAATGGAGGCAAAATAGCGCGCGCCGAGCACCATGAATCCTTCCATATCGCCGGGCACTGTCGATGGTCGGTCCGTTCGACGGCCGTTGCGCGTTTGCTCTCTATCGCTCGCCCGGATCTCTCGGAGTCCCGAAATGTTCCCGTGGGAATATCGCCGCGGCTGGACCATTTCCAGCCGCGAGCACACAGCCGCCGTTTGTGGCAATTAACACACCGGCGACGGTTCCTCTAATCATCGTGTATACAGCGATATTGTTGATCTGTGTGTAATATTAGGTCTCTCGATCATTTAAGGCGTTATATTCGAACAAATATAATATAGTATATATGTATATGCATTTTGAAGTGGAAGTGTCAGGAAAGAAAATTCGTAGAATGCAATTAGAATAGAACGTAACGTTTCCTTAGTGATACAAATTCAAAGATTAATGCCTAGTTCATACTGGATGCGATGGGCGACGAGCGATATCCAATAAAAGCTTTGTTTTAGCTCACACGACGATGTAAAGCAGAGTTCTTATTGGTTATCGCTCATCGCGCCTAGTGTGAACTAGGCATTACTTTCTTTGGAGAAGAAACAAAACTATTTTAATTTGATAGAAAATTCTTGATTAATCCATTAACATCGGCAAAAATTAATAGAGTATACTTTTAACATACCTAATCAAATATTTTTGTCATTTTTATTTCATACACTGTTAGATATTAAAGACGTAATCCCTTAAATAACGTTTTATTAATTTTAACTATCGTTTATTAAAATGTGAGTCAATTCATTTCTGTGGTCGAATCAGTTCCTTAGTTTCAAAGTAAATAACGTTTACATAATGTATTATATTTTGATCGCGACGATAGTTATTAGTTACTGTGATCGGCAAAGATATACTTTTGTACGTTTAATCCGTAGACGTTCGAATGCATATAAATTCAGCGTGAAAAAAACTACAGGTTGATAAAATTAGTATCCTAAGTAAAAAGAAGATGCTTTCTCCCCAGGAACTTTCGCGAGTCACGATTCGCCGCACGATCGCGGAGTTTGACCATTAAACTTCTAATCGTGGTTTAGAGTCCCCGCCGCGCCGCGCCGATGAATTCGCATGCGCTTTACTATTGGTTTTGCCGTCCTTGTTGTTTAAACTTCAAATGCACGGTTAGTCGTTCATTGCTTTTATTACTATGATTATTATTAGTGGCAGAGGGTATGCACGGAGAAGGAAACTGTAAAAGATGGGAGATACGATCCGGTAAAATGACTTTCAAAGAGACGGGCAATTTCGCGGTTGTATACGGTATAGCTTCGGAGTTCATAAGCTCGACGTCTAATCGAATCATATTCGATAAAAGTGGGATGTCGAAATTTACTGGACTTCTCTCCCCTTTCACTACGTTCTTCCGTAATTTTAATATATCACTATAATGACAAAAAAAAATAAAAAAAGAAAGACACCTATAATTGCGTTTGCAAACGTTTGCATGAATCAAAGTTTATCTAAGTTGTCCTAACAATTCATATCAATGAGTTGCAAATATGTGTAAAGTATAAAATATTTAAAACAAAATTTACGTTTGAATAAAGTAAAAAATTTTCTTAAATTGAAAGATATTTATCTCTTGTTATTAATAACAATCTTTGCACTGTGACAACCGTAATGATTTAAACAAAATTGTATAATATAACGTTCTTTCTGTATAACATTTTGATAATTATAAAAGAACATATTATACAAGTATACAGAGTCATATAAATTAATGTAGAATTAAAAAATAATATGTTTATTATATAATTAATGTGATAAATTGCGCTTTCGTTTTAATTATGTATTATTTTTTTGTGCGTACACAACAATATTTTGGTTTAAGACGATGACTGATACATCCTTATTATAATATTCATCCAATGTGTTAATTTTATCGCATATTTAACTGTATTGCGCGTTTATCATATTTATTTTGTATCTGATCTCGCATATATGCGTGCGAAAAGTATACAAGCAGAGCCTGGGATGTATTTTTATTAGCGCTGACTTTATTATATTTTTGCCGCTCTATCTGTACCACGTGAATGACGAGAGTAACATGAGCGAAAGGTTTTTATAGTCACCAACACATGGCTCTAGAAACCGTCGAGGAAACCCAGAGCAAAATGCGGTAACGAAATAGAATCCGGGTGGCATGTTATCGTATTTTATGTCACCCGTATTCTCGGCCACACTCAGATGCCTTGCACGGAAGTGGATATTTTTAACGCCGCGGATTCAGAAGCAGGAATTTCCATCACTTGAATGTCATTGCCCTCGCAAATGTTTGTGTGTGATCGATTTCCCGCTATCGGTTTATCGGAAACATTCGGCGCGTGTCCTCAAAATCAATCATCGTGGCGGAAAGAATAAATTTAAAGGCTTGAAAACTCGCCCTTTTAAAAAAGAATAGGGGCAATTTTTCAGCACTCTAAAAAAAATATGAGTATGGATTTAACACTATGCGATATTTATATTCATCGTACTGATGCTGATATAAATACCATGAGATTTAAAATTCAAATTATGTTGGTGGTGGTGACGATATAAAAGATACGAACATGATGAGAATTATGTAAACACCACATGGTGTTATAGTTACACTAATATTTTTTAGAATAAGGGAATATTCCAACATGAAAGAAAATAGTAGTCAATTTTTATAAACATAAAGTGGAAACTAGAAAAAAAAGATAACAAATAGTGCACGGAAAGAACGGTTTTGTTGGTATTATGTTTAAAAATTTAGTTAGATATACAGATCTAAAAATGTGATTTTGTTGAGGTATTAAAATAATTATTATGTGGAAATTGATGACAATGCTGGAGAAAGCTTTAACATTGTAATCAAACATTGTATTGTGAAGTTTAAGCGTCTGACATGATTTTGATAATAAACAAAATTATTTTTAGATTTGTATTTAGCTAAATTTTTAAATACTTTAGCAAAACCATTCTTTCTTCATACATAATTAATACATCTCACTAAAAGATGTATTGGAAGTGGACATACTATACAATATTTGGCTTGCGATATTATACTGAAAAGATTGAATTTCGCATATTTGTTAATCTTTCATTAATGTCAATCTACTAATTGGAACCAATCGAATGAAACGTCACTCTCGTTTCTGTTTCAGCTGTATCGTCATACATACCTGGCACATTACAGGATCGTGAACCTGGAGACTCTGTAAGTAAACGAGCCGTGTTTCGACGGCGTTTGTGACAATCATATCTTAAATTTATTCCGTGATTTCAAGTTCGGATTTGCATTTTAATCTCGGCCCTGAGAAGGGAGAGAGGATGAGAGTCGGGGGAAAAGCCGCATCGCGCCGCGTGCAAATTACAAACTGCGCACGAATTTAATCCCGCGCCGTCTTACCGTCACCACCTTGCCCGCCTCTCCAACCCCGTTCGTTCCGCGTCTGAGAACTTTCCCTCGCGGATTTGATCATTAACTCAGCATTTAGGAGCGGTTATATCACGATTACAGGCCCGCCGCTGCGCCGCCCGCCGGTTTCCGACCGTTGGCGTCCGTGGCGATTTCGCTCTCTGTACTTTCCCGCAGGCGAGAAAAATTAAAGCCATCTTCCGAGGCCTGAATTTATCCACACGGCTGCACTTTTCGCGGTATCGAGACATTTGCTGGCCTTGCAAAGACAGAATAAATCGTATCTTACCTTTTCAAGGGGGTCTCTCCACTTCCCTTAATTTCTATACCTATCCCAAAATTCGCGTGAGCTTATGCCAAGAATCACGCTACCTCCATTGTTTCGGCATAAATATCTTAATAAATATCTCGTTTTGCCGAATCGTCAGCATATCATTCTCCGATTCAAATATTAATTGAAGCCATAGAGAAATTAATATTAACAATCCATTTATAGTACCCTTCTTGTTAAATTTATTTGTACATTTCGTTTGTTCATCATGTTTAACTGTTTATACGTATATTTGCTTACTTGTTAGCTTGATGTGCACATATCGATATTGATATAAATATTATTACTGTTCTCCATATTTATTCTTGTTATTTATTTATGAGTAAATATATAAATGTTCTAAATTTTCTAATATTTAATGTATATAAAACGAGATATGCACCTAAATACGTAAGATACTTAAATATCTCTTTAATCGATGAAAAATTGTTTATTCTCATAATTAAGAATTTAGCATAATAATTGAAGATAAAATTCGCGATGTGTTATGAGTTATGACCTTTATAGAGATGGGAACAATTCTTTTGTATATTAGTCAAACTTATCCCGGAGCTTAAATCATCCGAAAAACTAGGTCGCCTGTAAAACTCGCAAAATTTCGAAGACCAATTTCTCACTATCGCGCGAAACCGCAAAGACTTTCTCGAAATTCGCGGGAATAGCATCGTCCTCAGAAATAGCGGTTCCTGTCGTTCACACTACTCCAGAGGAACCGATGTGCCTTGAGGTCCATCCACGCGGAACCACAAGGCTGCTGGAACTCGTCCTATAGTCAAGAGAGCGCGAAATTTTGCCGTTATGTATATGTGGATGCCCACACGGCTCCGAACGGGCGAATCTCACGATTTGGACTTTACCGTTGCGCTTGAGATCATCGTTCTCAAATAGTCGCGCAAATCAAACTTCAGTCCGTTTCTAAACGCGATTTGTAAAGACCGCTCGTCATCTTTGTATGCACGTAGAGCGGCTGTTTCATAGTTTAACCGCTGTAAAACGAGCGGATATATACAGGCTCTTCGCTGTCACGTTTGAGTTTCATCGGTGGTTTTCGGGAAAATTCTAAAATGGAAACCGTGAATGAAATACTGCAGGATTATTTTGAAAATATAAGAATTTCAATTTTGATGTGATTTCACGTATGAAAACATATATATATATACGACCTAAAATCAGAGGATAATTATTTAATTGATAAATTTTTAATATTTTTAGAAAGATATATATATATATATATTTATTTATTTCTTTTTTCTCTAAGACACACAAGACGATTACAAACGTTATGGAATACAAGAGACACTGACATTCGCGTTACGTGTAATCGATAACAGTAAAATTAATGTTATTTTATGTTCATTTACTACAATACAACGCAACCTAAAAAACAATATTTTCTAGGAAATGTTTTGAATATTTTGAATTATTAAAATTTTGCAATAATTAATTTAAAATGCATTTTTAGTGTAATATAACTAATTATAAAAAAATAAAAGTGTGTATTTAAAAAATATGTTTATTTTTGTAATTTGCGCATTATTTTATTGTAGCAATAAAAACATGACAATTTTATAACAGTCATGTCGTTATTGCAGTAGAATGTAACAAATGAGTGTCCTTCTATCAATTATTTTACGCATTTTCAGACATCAAGGGAAATATACAGGCTATTATCATAAACGAATGAAATGTCAATTCGTCCATTTTACGATAAATTTTACGGATAAATAAAATCCATTGTGCGGCCGCTGCATCGCCTCTATATCTCTGACGATAGTTTCGCGCGAGAGTGAAAATGTAAACGCGTATTCTTAGGAAGACGTGCAATGGTATATATCCTGCCTCTGACACATATATCGAGCACAGTAGTCGCGTCGTAATCTTACGTCATACGTTGCGTGCGTTTTGACATGAAGAAGCGATTTTTCTCGCGGAGCGTACGCCTCCGAACATTTTTCGAGACGTGAAAAACAATGCTGGGACAGGCGTCAAAATAAATTCTTTGCGAAATTCACGCTTGTTTGCATTTGTATTTGGAGCGTATCCGTTCATTCGACGTAGTTTATTGTTGAGTCTTAAAGAGCACATTGTTATTATGATTATATAAATTTGTTATTTTATCACACATTATAGCAGTTAACTATTCTTAATTGCCAATTACTCATTGCAATAAATAACTCGGGCAATTATCCGTCGAATGGTGTACAGCGAAAGCACGAACTCGATGTTTCCAGATGGCCATTCTAACACAAAATTACGGTCAAAGCTGTTTAACTTTGGACCATCAAGTGGACCGTTCTTTCATTCGTAACACATATTTTTGTGACGCTAAAGTATGAATCCACACTTACTAAATTTTTTGTTATTAGTTTTAGAAGAAGTTTTACAGTGTTCAATTACATAAAAAGTTATAACATTTGAACTTAACATGAATATATTTTGGATAGAACAAAACTGTGAAAAGTAAGATTATGAAATATAAAAAATTATTCCAATTATTTAACTATTTAAAAATTATAAAAGTGTTTTAAGGTCATTAAGACTTTTATGTTCCATTTCAGGATTAAAAAAGAGATTACTTCCTGTTGCATACAACATATATATATATATATCATTGTAAAATAATGTAGTAGATGACGACAAATCTAACATTTACTTTTTATAATTAAAATCTCTTTTAGAGTTCATTTTTACAATGTAAAGAAACTTTTAATCTTGGCTTAACTTAGCCTTTGTAATTTTTAAAACTAGAAAGAGATAAAATGTAAATAAACCAAGATTAGGGTTAATCTACATTAGCAAAAATGGATATTATAAGATTATATCATATCCACACAAAAGTAATTTTCTACTTTGTGAAAGTACTGAAAGTTAACCACAACGCGACTAATTTTAATATTTTTATTTACCGACTTATTTTTTTTAGATGTTGAGAGAGAGCGCTACTTTCAAAATTATTTTGCAGCACGATTTTACGTTTGCGAGGATAAAGTAATCTGGTACGAGATGCTACTAAAAATGCATGTTATATCGAGTTATTCTTGCAGTAAATCCCTAAAATTAAAGTATACCAAACGCGAAGATTTTTTTTACGCCAGAATTTCGCGATGATTGGTTTACACGTGGCGGCAATGACACGCGGAGAACAGTTCAGGTGGAGGGGTGGGAACTCGCCGTCGTTTTTGGCTTTCGGTGTCGTGATAAAAGGCAGAACGAGAATGTACACCGACATGCCGGGACGAGCAAAGGAGCGAAGGCAAAAGAGCAAGGAACGAGAGCGAGACGTAGAGCGGGCGGGTAAATAAGCCGTGAGAGTTACCTCGCTTGTATATTCAGCGCTAGGCGAGGTGAAACGAAGCGAGGCGAAGCGAGGCCAGGCCGGGCGAGTCCTGTGTCCCGCCATAAACCCGGTTCGTACGCCGCATGAATACCGGCGCCTTTATTTATGGCTTTTCGGGAAGAAGTTTGCCGCGACGGGACGACGAGCTATCCAACGACGACACGGCGGTCGACGTTGCGCCTTTACGCTATTCATCGATTTTCCGCGGCTGGTTGAACGGCGCGCGGACAAAAATACCACAGATCGTTGCGCGAATCCAGCCAAAAGAACCACCGGCTCTTTCTTCTCGCGTAGATAGAAGCGATCGAACGGTTCGATACAGTGTAGCATTTTGGTTCAGTTTTCTTTTTAAGAATTCGCGAACACATTTATCTTGTGAATCCCAGATAATTTAATCCTGAAATCCGATGAACCTCTGTTTCGAACAAATACCTACTAACAATAAATATAATTTTTATCGTGGCTTTGCGACTTGTATTCCAAAGCGAGGATTGTTTCAAACATAGTTACTACAAGATATTTATTATCTAACAAACCTAGATTTTGTTTAGAGAAGTTTATTATTATTTTTGAAAATAAAAGATTTCACGGAATAATAAAAAGAGAGCATATCAGCCACATGCAAGTCTTTTTCGCGTAACAATTGAGATCACTTTTTATTGCAATTATACATAATTAATCATAAACGTTTCGACTTTCATTAGGTCATAATCAGTATGCCTAACAGTATTACAAAATTAGTCTCGAAATGAAAAATTGATCTAATATAATGTATGTCTACCTAATCAAAAAATAAAATTAACGTACGTGTATCTTAAGTCAGAAAACGCTTGCGTTTTACATTCTTCGTAATTGGATGTAGATTCTCTTGTTACATTGCCAAACATCTATTTTATCCGTCATCTCTCTCAAAATTCTTCAATTAATGTATGGATATAAAAATGTGACCACGCATACATCACAGAAATCCCAATTTCTATGAAGGTGCTACGATCAACTATTATTACTCTGTTCCAGATCGTAATAAAATTCTCAGAGAATAAAATGATGAGTGTAGACAAACTGTTCAAGTGAGCGAATTGCGTATGAATTACTGTTTTATTATAAAACCATTTCTTCACTCCCTTATTTATTTTCATGGAATTTTATCGGTATTCGAGAAAGTTTTTAAAATTTTGTTTTTAAATTTAAATTCAATTTCTTTTTAAAAATATGGTTTTTTAATTCTTTGATTATTTTTTGTAGGACAGACACATAATCTCGTGGAATTTCTGTCTTGTAATTTACAATGTATAGTTTGTTTGTATGTGAATAAATAATATATAAAAAAAATTAATAAATTGGAATAAATGAAAATAATCTTGTTCATTTTTAATAACAGCATTAATAAAATAAATATTTGTTTTATTGAAACAAGAGAGCACAATGGATTAAATTAATATAATAAGATTATTCCCATGCAATTAAATTGATGCTGTTAATGCATTGTTCTTTCCATGTAAACGATAGAAACATTGATTTTTAGAGTACTCGTAAACTTGAAGCGATTTTCATGAGCATCTTTTTCCCACACGTTATACGTGTGGTTACATAATCGTAAACGTATTTGTTTGTTCCATCTGTAATCTCGGGAGCCATCACAAGATCAATTTCAGAACGCGCGGCAGGCTTTTGGTTTATATCCGAATGGCTCCGGATTTTATTGTCTATAGAAAAGACGCTCTCTTTCTTCATCCTATCGTTTCTCCTCTCGTCCTATCCCTCTTAAACATTTTCTTCCTATTTTCTTCCGAATGTGTACATAAGTGTGTGTATGCATCTGGAAAACGTATCTGAGAACATATGCATTTGTGGACACATATTGCGGCGACGTAAGATGAAACTCACATGTTTCACGATATGTTCGAAGTTCTTTTATAGATTGGAATTTTCGTAAAAGCAAGTTTTCATAAAAATACAGAACGTCGTGAGAACGTAGCAAAATTCACGCATTATTCTCATTCAAGTTCTTTCTACTTTTGGATCATCGATATCCACAAATAAGCTGATTAATAGCTCAATTAAACGAAAAAATTGGTTAACGATTTCATTTTGCAGAAGCAATCAATGAGTTAGAAGATTGTGATATATAATAACTGGCAGATGATATTGGTGTTTTTCAAAAAGATTGTTTCCACACAATTATTTAATTGATCTACCTGTGCTATGGGATAGCGGTTCAGTGACTTCATTCGTTTCCTCTCGATAATGTATTTGCCAATAGTTTGTACGCGAATGGATTCCGATAGTTTTCCATATGCGGAAACGGACGCGTTGCAGAGTTGGCAATCTGCCATATATCAGAGTCTGATCTCAATTTTGAAACTTTAATTCGAAATGGATAAAACCTTTATCCGAAATAATAATGAAAAAAGACAATAGCATTGTTAACACGCGAAGAGAACGCTACGTCGCGTCGGATTGTCATTTTTATTTATTCCTATCGCACGTCTTAGAACACCTTATTGTTAGCAGTCTTTAACCCGACGTTTAAAACAGTAAGATATCGAACTTTATTGTTGGAATCTTTATGTGAAATAATTAATAAAACAAACTATGCTCTTGTAATTGTATGTATATTCATAAAATGTAGACAGCTTTGATACTCGGATAAACAAGTGGTTGGAATGTTTTCCGTCGATTTACATTGTCTACATTGTTGGATCTACAATGATATTTTTACGAGGCGCGAGGGCAAAAATCAACTTCCCTTAATCGGCTTTTCTCAAGCCCTTTGTAAATAGAGTCTATCTATAGTTGCGAACGAACGACGAAGTCTTTAGTCTTGGTAGAAATTACCCGATCAAAACTTAATTTACAAAGAAAACGTAAAATGTGGACATTAGAAAAAACATTAGAATAAAATTATCTTCTATACACTATATCTTTGATATTTAAATTTCTTTCTATTCTACGAAAATTCTAAATGTATAGAAAAAAACGCAAAAAAAACGAAATTATAAAATTACAAATTAAAATTGAATAAAATCAAATAAATTACGGAATGAAAAATGTTACAGATAACATAAAAGATATATAAATGTATTATAATGTTTAAAGGGATTTGATAAAATTTTATTAGAACTATTAATTATTATAACGTAACTTTCTTTATATCAAATAAGTTAATTAATATACATAATAACATGATAAGAGATAATTTATTACCAGTAATAATATATAATTCTATAATAGTTTCTGTCGTACTGAAAGGACATCAATAATATGGTTTGTTATATAGTGTTACCAAAACACAGAAGCAATACGCTGTTAGTCAACCCATTTCGATATTAATTGCATCTCTGAATTACAATCGTAATTATTCCCAGAGTAATTACTTATTCACCGTTTTATTTGATCATTCCCTCGTCGGTAATAATCTCCTCGCTATTGTTTGTGGATTTCGAATCTTTGATGAAGAATTTGTGGTCCGTATTACGTTTCGCTGGCAAAGCCACCGTGACAATATGGTGCCGTAGGGTTATGCGGGACTACATTTCTGGGTTGTCCAGCAGTTTCAAACTAGTTCCCGCCTAAAATCATACAGAGTTACGATATTATTCAAGCGAGACACAGTGACGTCATTGTTGGTTGCAGCGACCGGTCACGAACGCTAAGCAATAATAACGTGAATGTGATCCGATGGCGTTTATATCGTCCTCTATCCACGTCTCAACTTTATAAATCCGAATTTCAATACCGAGCTCATTACAAGAGCGAATTTGTTCTACTGAAATAAGTGAGCGAGACTACAGAAGCAACGTAAATTCACTCTTTTAAAAATTAAAACGCTTGTACATCTTTTATGTTATATATAACATTTTTAATTTTGTAATTTATTTTATTTTATTTTATTTTTATTTCGAAGCAACTCACTCAATGAACTTAATTTACACTTTTGTGGTTTCGTCTTTCGTGTCTTACTTTTCTTTATTGTCTCGTAAATAATTCAGAGAAAAAAATTTTCGTAAAAAGTGTGTCACGGCATGTCGTCCAACGAGTAGTACATTAGCGAAATCAAAAAATGTAAATATGTATATAAGATGTATACTTTATGTTTAACTGTGCTAATACTTGACATCATTTTTCATAATATTTTTTTTACTTCTTAATTTAAAACAATGGTGTGTTTATGTATGTGTATCCTATTTTACCTTCCTAGATTTTACTATCTTTTTCTTTCTATAATTCTGTTGCTGAAGCAATAAAAACATGTGAAGTTAACTAGCGCAATTCAGCACAAATTTTATTTTATTTTTTTTTCAAAATGGCGGTGCTAATTTCACGCATATAATAAAAACACTTTTGCGTTCATAAAATTTTTACCGTGACATTTATCTTTGAAACACAATGTCCTTTGAAAGATACTGACTGATGAATTTCATTTACAGCGGAAAACGTGAAATACAAAAAGCGGAAAAGTTGTTGAGTTTTTTTTCGGAAAACGCGAAAACCGCGAGTGGTCCTTGCAGGTTCTTGCAGGAAAGAGCACGCAAGCGAGAAATATCTAAAATATAAACTATTGTTTTCACTGTATTACAAAATACGTTATTGTTATATTTACAGAACAGATACGATATTGGCGGCGAATGAATCGACGCCGTTACAACTTGCAACTTGGACACCTCAAGGCAACGCCCTGATCTACGTTCACCAGAATAACATCTATTATAGACCAGAGGCAGAGGTGGCCAATGACTATCAAATAACCAGCACGGGAGTATTTGGAACTATTTACAATGGAGTACCGGACTGGGTTTACGAGGGTAAGTAATCTAATTGAAGTATAATATTTATTCTTTATTAGAGTTATTTTACAAAAATTTCCTATTTTCTTTATGGAGACAAATTTTTATGAGACAAATTTTCTTTATGAACAAAATGCTTAAAAACATGGCTGTAATATCTATTTTCAGTCTTCTTTGTAGTAATTTTGTTCCTTTTTTATTCTTTTAATCAAAAGTAGAACAAATTAAAATGAATGAAAGAGATGACAAGAGTAAATTGGGTTAAGGATACGAGTGTATCTAAACGTGCAAATCTCGCGTAAAGCCGATATATCATATTGTACTTTTTGTGACCAAACTAGGATACAAAAGAGTATTTCAATTCATTGCGCTTGTACACGTATGGCAACAATTCAGCGAACCACGCAATATTTTTCATTTATTCTTTGAAGGATTTGTTTCTACAAAAAGTACAACAACCCCTGTTCGACTCTAAAAATATTTTATTTATTTTTTATGAAATACCCGTTTAAAGCGGACCTGGCACGCCAACAACGTGCTGGGATACAACAATGCAAGTACGATACGTTAAATAATTCGACGAATATTGTCTACTTTGTAATTTTGTTTAATTGAAATACGTGAGATTACAGAAAAACGCCTTGTTGCTGTATATGAACGCTGTATTGAACGCTATGCACACCACTCTTCTCGTGCCAAGTAATAAGAAATTAGCTTTATGCTAATTGCTAATTAGAAATGCAAATTGATACGACTTTTACGCAGTCAGAAAGAAAATATTTGTTTTCTAATTCTACGCACGTACTGTCTTTCTTTGTCGACGCTTTCTGTCAACTTTAATTCACGCGGAAACTAATATATTGTTCTCTCATTTTGAAAAGTAATATAACTTGAAAAACGTGGTTTTCAAATTATTATGAATAGGTTAAGTAAACATTATTCTGTCAATCATCAAAAGCAAGTAAACTTAACTTTGTTTTAACAAATCATTAAAATCGTGATATTTAAAGGTGATTATTAAAAAATTGTCATTACAGCTCAACAAAAGTTTTTTAAGAATCGTGAAACAAAAATGAAATAACATTTAATAAAGTTAAAAAAAATATTTATTTTATGATATTTGATTAATTAGTTATTTCCGATTAAATTGAAAAACAGTTTTTTCTTCTTCCTGGGAAACTTAATCTTCGTTTGTAATCTGGGTCTTTTTTAGTACAAACAAAATTTTATCATTCTCAAATTTCTCCGAAATAAAGAAAAGAATTACGTTCTCTTTCTTAAAATATCTTGCAACGTTTCTATTTGATAATTCAATAGAGATGTTGAAAATTAAATCCTGAATTTTTTTACATTTTTGAAAGCCTTAAACATTAAAAAAACTTAAGTTGGTAAAAAAAAAGCACGGATATCGTAAAAGGAGTAAAGATATGATTGCAGAAGTGTTAATTTTTTTAGTTGTTACTTCTAAAGTAAGGGAACTATAATATATACATTCTAAAGAATTTTCTATGAAATCCCATATGCAAGAAATCAAATATCTCTCATATATATTATCGGATTGTATATGATTATATCTATTGTTTTTAGTAAAACCCGAATCCGAAGTGAAACTAGTAAATATTGCGAATTTTTAAAATATTGTATATTAATTGGATTGCAATTTCCTATTTCGTGCAAAATGGTAATATAGCGCTAATAAAAGATGCACCATATATTCACGTTGCCGATGCTCCTGGGACCTGTTCGCGTTTGCATATCGCTGAACCTTCATCAGCTATGCTCTTTTTCCACCCTTGCTTTGTCCCTTTAGACGTTGTTCCTCGTTTTACCGCGCGGCGACAATAACAAACCAATGGATGAGGCGCATCAAAATTCATCAACATCAATCAAGAAAGTCCGCGGACGCAACGTGAGAGTTACGATTTCACTTCCAGTAGATTTACTTCCTATATCCTGAGTGACGCCCGTCACGATGAATATGTATGTCACGGCGATAATAAATTCGGTATCGATTTCCATGGATGGAAACATGCAGAGAAAGAGGAAGGCAAAGATAAAAATAATAGCTTTCCAATTTGTTTCAATCGTATGAAGATACCCGTAATTAATTCAATTGAAATTTTAAAGACTTATTATTATAGTATTTTTTACTCGTGAAATACGTCCACGAAAGCTTCGGAAAATGGAAATAATTCCGTATTGTTGATATATTAAAAAATTTGATTAATTAAATATCCCGCTTTGTAATTCACACATCGCAATAAATATAAAATCGACTTTATCGTTGTACGCCGCTAATGATCGGCGGGGTGAATGATGATTATTAATGTTCGCGATTGTTATTGTCATTGTGCGCTTATTATTCGATAGGTTCGCATAAAAACGTTCGCAGCAGGGAAAAAGCTCGCTTAGTATCGTGAAATCGGGGATAACGAGTGGAATCAACGGCGCACCTATATTTAAAGGATAAACGCGGCAAATTGACCGGATTCATAACGTCCGTGCTATTGGCAGTTGGGTCGGGGCAGCTGCCGTCGTTGAAAAGCCGGGGGCATGATTTAAAATGCGGAATCACACAACGCGCTTTTACATGTACATATATTCGACCGATTGCCTTGCAAGGCCAACGGTCTCGTCCTCGTAATTCTGAATACTGCAGCGCTGACTGGAAATACATATCTCTCGCCACGCGGGATCACTATATTTATTTTTCACATTCCTATGTTACAATCATTGCATCGAAATGTCGAGAATTTTTCAATTAACAACATTGGATTTTCAACACTTCCTTCGATAGTCCAGCGATCCCGTTTCAAAGCTTTTTTTTACTTTCTTTTCTTCCTCTCTTGTTTTTTTTTCTATAATATTTTATTGCAGGATTTTTTAGGGAAATATAAAACGTGATAAAATATTTGGAGATATATATGGTAATACATAAATTTGGAAGTATTCGAATAGCGCAGGTTATTCAAAATTATAACAGGTTACACGCTAAAAAATATGTATATAGTGTAGATCTTATACAGTACAGGATTCATAACATTGTTGCAAGATTTTTGATATTACTGCAATATTACTGAAACGTTATAATGTTATTATATTAATATGGAATGTTGCTACAGTATTATTGGAATATTTTGTACTCTATGAGGATTTAACGTGAATGTTAAAGATAATCACTGTGCTGATGGTGATTTAACAAAATAAGTTTTAAGCCGTGATGTTAAATCTCTACACTTATGGTATTAAATCCTTTACGTTGGTATTTATATCAATATCAATACAGTGAGAATTATACAAATATCCCATACAGCACAAAAGCTTACAACAATATTGTTGCAACATTTTCAATGTTACTACAATTTTACTGGAACGTTCTATGCTATATGGAGATTTAATATTATAGATTTTAAACCCATGGTATATTAAATCTACATTCATATTTTTTATAGAGCATGTAAATAAGTAGGTGAAAAATCGAGGTTTATTTATAGTCTCTCTCAACATCCAGCATCCAGTTTGTGTAATCAGTAATCACTATATGTATACGTGCTTGAAGTTCTCACCATTGTATGTGATCTTTCACACAATCGATCGGCGACTAGGCCGAATAATTAAATCGCGCCGCCATCGCGCGTCATGTGATTGATCTCTCCGCTCGTCTCGGCGAGTAGATGATAGAAATTGTTTACGCATCTCTGTTGTTGATTTATTGCTAAAGTTGCGAGTGAATCGCGTCGTTTTGCCGGTCGACGCGGCGCCCGGTCCGCGTTTTGTTTTCCATACCGGAAGTGGCGCCACAAATGTGCGAGATCGTGGTGGATTCTACAGGGAACTGATAACTTCGTGATATATCTGCACGCAGATGCGATATCAAGAGGACCAAAACAATGCTGGTCGTCCATTTTCAGAGTAGACAGAAATCCTGGCGATTTTGTGTATAGATATACGCACCGAGGTCAGTAATGAGAACGCAGACAGCGAGAATGCTACGTGGTGCGTTTCATTTTAAATCACACGCATTTTAAAACGGTACAAATGAGGATATTCGTTGAATCAAGATATAATGAACCGTGAAAATTTTAATGAGCAAAACCGACAGCTTTATCGATCGTTATATACTTATTTTTAGGAAAAATCTTGTCAATACGTATCTTCCTTTTTTTTGTGTTACTAACTAATAATTCATTCATTTTGTAAATTAAATACCTATACTGAGAGATTGTAAGATGATTGGTATTCTATCAAAAAATAAAACAAGATACGCATTACCACCGTTAGATAAAAGATTCAACTTACCGAATCTACGAAATTACAAATAATTTAATTATGTAAAAAATAAAATATTTAGCAACTGATTAAACTCCAACAACAAAAGAACATTGTGTTAATTAAATTATTGATCAATTTGAATTTAAAATTAAAAGATATAGATTTCAAAAGATTAACAAATCAAAATTGGATACAAAAAAGGTATGTATAAACTGATTGAAACGCAATGTATTTTAATCAATAAATTTAATTTAACAAATCAAAACTAAAAGAACTAAAGAACCGAGCTGGGTGATTTTTTGTATTTAATTTTGATTTGCCAAATTAAATTTATTGATTAAAAAACATAATACATCACACACACACACACACATAATTGGTTTACGTATCTTTGAAGTTCTTGTTCGTGAGAAAGAAACAAAGAGAAAGAAAACGCGGGTTCAGGAAAATGATTGTTAAAAAATTCGCACTTTATAGAGTTGTTAATCCACTTAATCTCTCTTTTGCGCAAACGATTTAAAATTTAATTGTTGCCACAGATAACGTTTCCTTTCTCCATCAGTAACGTAAGCCTATCAGCATTAGCAACTTACGTTTTAAGTATTCACAAAGGGATATCCAAACTCATCGGTGAAAGCCTCGACCGAAAATTTCACTATTCACGAGCTGGACCGCATAGCTCATCGCTCGTCTCACCAGACCGTGAAAAAGCACAACGAATGATTGGTTGATGCCTAAATTTTCTA